ACCCAGCCGGCGGGCATGCCCCCACTCCAATCATCGCCCCACCACGTTTAAAACTATTTAGTTTAATTGGCGCTATTTGATGATATCATTACTTTTGTAGAGAAGATAGTTTTGTAGTGAGGATATTTTTGTAGAGATGCAAAAAAGATGGAGTAACAAAATATGTATATTCGGTCGTTGGAGCTTATACTTGGCGCTTTTTTACCTTTTTTTAAAAAGGTAAGTTTTTTAGGTGTATAATTTTACCTGAATAGCAACGATCCCAACAAATGCGTTTAATGCGTCTTTGTACACTTTTTCGTCTGTTGTTGTCAAAATATTCGTGACGCTTATACCATATGGTTTTAAAGCAACGTCGCACATTCTTATGGCATTTGCAAAGACATGCAATTTTAATAAGTTTTGACCTGATATTGATAAAAAAAATTATATCGTCTATTATTTAAATACCACCGTAAAGGACGGAATGTTAAACATATTCTTAACTAAATATATTAAAAATATATACCCATTCCTGGCCATTGCGAGCCTAAAGCAGAAAATATAAACCAAACAGGTCTCTTCACATTTTCACAATTTTGAATTTCCTTTATTGAATCTTGTCGCAAAGTATTCAATATGGTAAATCCTCTCCATGAGTGACCGTCTATATTATCCGCATGAATATCATGCAGTAAACGGATATATTCTATATTTATTGGATGATTAGCAGCCTAAGGTCAAAAATATTTTAAAACAAAATGTATTATATAATATTGAATTAGTCAAAATGACATTAAAATTACTTTTGAAATGTTTACTAACATCGTTTAAAAACAAGTTTACTGAGTCTTCAGTGCATCCAGATAATAATACAAGTCTTGGCAAGTCATCATTAGGCGCATTATTGTCAAGTTTTTGTTTGGGGTTCCACTTTACTAACATGTGAGCATTAGCTCCCCCGAAACCGAAAGAACTAATACCTATGTAACCATTTTTAAGTGGCATTGGATTTGTAACGACACAGATAGCTCCATTTTTTATGCAGTCTATATTATCTCGTGGTGATGTGTAATTGATATGTGGTGGAACAATACCGGTTTCGAATGCAATTATTACCTTTAAAAACAATAAAATACAATTAATAAAATACAATTAATAAATTAATTACAAATTAATTTATTATTATTTAATTAAGTTAAATTTGAAACATAATGAATAAATGCGTAAACCATTTATTTTACCTTAGCAAGCTGAGTAAAACCACTTGCACTTTCAGCATGACCAAGATTGGATTTTACGGAGCCAATCATTAAAGGAGTTTCTCTATTCTTGCAAAAAACCTTATGAAGAGCCTTGACTTCCTCAGGATCGCCGACTTTGGTACCAGTACCATGTGCTTCAATGTAATCCACGCAAGATGTCGGTATTCCGCACTCATCATAAAATTCAGATAGCAAAGTAGTTTGCATCTGGGACGACGGATATGTTACTCCTTCTTCTTTATAACCATCGCAGTTTGTTTTAATATGCGGAATTATAGCGTAAATCCTTTTCGCATTCTTTGCTTTTTGAAGATATATCACTGACACCGTTTCGCTGCGTACATAACCGTTTGCAGCTTTATCGAAAGGTCTGGATTCACCACTGGGTGACAAAACACCTGAAAAACAAATGTAAAAATAAAACAAGGATATAGATTTTTGGCAAATTCTAATTAGAGAAATTTATTGCGAGAAATATTATCTCCGCCAGGGTTTGAACTGGACCTCCCTACACTCTAAGCGAGCGTCTCACCAATTCGACCACTGACATGCCTCAGTGTGTAGGGTGGTCCAGGTTCAAACCCTGGCTGAGGTAATATATTTCTCGCAATAAATTTCTATAATTAAAATTTGCTAGTCGTATCGTTTATTAATTTTCCTACATTGGTTAATTATTTACTAGCATTACAAATGTTTTTAATGAAATTACATAGTCTGTTAAATTTTATTTATTATTTTAAAAGAGATATATACACTGGTCAAAAAAATTAACGCAACAAGAAATTTACATCAAAATTTGGCGAATTTCAAATAAGCGTAACTTCGCGAAAACTGGTAGAATTGAAAAGTTTTTTTTTTCATTTTATAGGGCAAAGCCTCTGCTTTAAGAAGCTCTTATTGGAATTTGCATTCACTCTTCCCATTTCCCGGAACTTTCTCAAAATCATGACCATGTTTTTCTCTAAAAAATTGCACACTTTGACGCACTGTGCGGAGTGTAGTAATTTTTCTTCGCCAGTTCTGCTTACGGTATCAAAAAGTGGATACTTGTCTTTTCAATTTAAAAAAAAAGAAGTTCCTACGATTTTTTTTCGCCAAATCACAGCTCATTGAAATAACCCTTGTGTTTTCGACATTACCGACGATATCCGTTAAAAATCATCGTAGCAAGATCGTTTTTTTTTTTAATTAAAGCTTGCACTCTCAGCTTCAAAACTAGTCACCAGATTTTTCCTCGAATGCATCTGCGCTGCTGTAGCTTTTAAAATGTAAGGACATGTTTTTACCTAAAAACTAACCAACTTTGGCCAGGTGCCCGGGCGTAGGAAATTTTTCCTCGCTAATTCTGCTCGAAGTATCAAAAAGTGTGTACTTTTCCCTTCAATTTAAAACAAAGAAGAAGTTACTGCGATTTTTTTCGACAAGTTACAGCTTTTTGAAGTAACCCTTGTATTTTCGTTCATTACCGTCGACATCAGCGTAACCCAATGTGCACGTGGAGGTTGCCGTTCGGATTTTGCACATCGTGTGGTCCTACAAGTCACGCAGCCTTCTTCCCATCATATCCCAGTATGTTCGATATGAATACTCCACTGGCCCTCTTCAGTG